CATTAACTGCACCAGCTGAATGGGGACATTTGCATTAAGTTAATTAAAAAAAAAAAACCCAACAAAAAAAAACCAAAACAAAAAACTCCCAAAAACCCTCTACAAGTCCAGGACACGTTTCCCTCCTTCCCAGATCTGACCCAGTGAATGAGTTGTGTCAGGGACACTTTGGCAAAGCAGATACTTGGGCTGGACAGGGCAGCAAGGGAAAACGTCCGTGCCGCTGCTTCTTCCTCCGTCCCGTTACCCGGCAGTTCAGAGAAAGCCTCTCCTTCCAGCCCTCGCGGTGGCAAGCTCCTGTTCGCACCCTGCATGCCAGAGGGTCTGACGCCGCTGTCGGGACAGTTCCCAGTTTCACGGGTAGCTTCCTCCGGCTGTCCGTTACCTGTGTTTCTTCTCCAGGTTCCCTTTCACCCCTCAAAACCAGAAGGGTTTCAAAATAACGGAGTCAGACAACAAAGCCTTGCTGCTGGTTTTCTTTTTCCCTGGTCCGCTGGCTAATTCAGCCACCGACCTGACGCGATGCTTCCTTGTGCCTTCATCAAGAGCAAAGACGTTTCGAGTCCCTCTTTATCCTCTCAGAGCACCAAATCCACACCCATCGATGAGCGCACAGCCGGTGGCTCCCGGCCACCCTTACTTAACTTCCAGGATGGAGGGGTTCGTCTCCATGATGGCCACGATGATCCTGTCGATGTAATCCTGCAGGCGGAAGTTGATCTCCTCTTGCTTTTGAATTGCTTCCATGAGCTGCAAGGGAGGGAGAAAAGGGAGTGAGCGGTCACTGCCTGCCGCTGCCCAGGGACAGAAATGGGGTTTCTGGGGGCTCTGGGCACCCACAGAGGTTTCCTCGCTTCTTCACTCTGGCCTGGGATGTTCCTGACCACGTATAAGCCGCCAGGGAAAATGCCCTCAGCTGCTGGCTCTGCTCACTTCTGTCCTTCCTCAAGTTCTCAGCCAGATGGGACCATGGAGACAGCAGGGAGCACGGCATCTCCCCTTTGGCCCCCAAACCATCCAGGTATGTTTCCCCACTTCTTGGGGTCCCAAAGATTTAATTCTGATGCTTAGGTGGGCTCACAAGCCAGTGTCTGGGGTACAGCCATGGAGCAGGGAGAACATGTGGCAGAAAAGCCAAGATCTCCAGGGCAGATGTCCCAGCTCTCTGAAGTTTTAAGACAGCTACAGACCGACCGACCCACCCCACGTTGGCCGGGCTGTCCCAGGAAGAGGAAGGCTGTTACGGGGCAGGCAAAGCAGAGCTGCCAGTACCAGCAAATTGGAAGGGAACAGCTTCCCCTATTCCCAGGAAGGAGGGCTGGCAGGCAGGGTAAGCCTTGCAAGCTCTTCAAATAGTTGGGGGGGTATTTATTTATTTATTTATTTAGGCTCGGGACAGCTTTCAAGTGAGTTTCGGGAGCGAGCTGCACCACAGACAGGGCCACATCAGCTCCTCCCAGGCTCTCAGCTTGCCGAAAGGAGAGGAGATGCACCAGTCACCCAGGGAAGATGCGGTCTGAGGTCAGCAGTACCCCATGGCACGTACCTCGTCTCTGGAGACCGAGCTGATCTCCGCTGCCAGGGATTCAGAGAAGGAGGCTGAGAAGAGGTTCTTGGCTCCCTGGATGCTCAAGTTAATGATCTGTCCATTCAGTTCATCATTCTGCTCCTTCAGGTTCCTGTTATCCTGTTCATAACAGACAAACCAGATGCTGCTGAAGCATATGGTGCCCTCAGAGCAGATCCAGCCAGGGAAGGCAGGGGTTTTGTCCTAACCAGCAGCTCACCCAGCACTGGAAACAGCGCAGGGTCTCCTGACTCAGTTTTGGCAGAGCCTGGAGAACCTCTGAAAGTGTGGGATATGCTGGGGAGATCCAGGGAACGCAGCAGAGGGGCTCTTCAGTGTACACGCCGTCCTTCAGAAGAAGGAGCCAACCTCTCCCATCCCGGGACGAGAGCGCAGCGGGCTGCCAGATTCACTGTCAGCTCCTCGGGATGAAACCTCCGGGCCCCGCTGACCACTCCTTGGTGTCAGGGAATTGGCATCTCCTTTTGCAGACCAAGCAGCTTCCCTCCCTGCCCAGCCCCGCATACCTGCTTGAGCTGCTTGATCTCTTGCTCCAGCTCCGTTTCCCGCGTCCTGCTGTTGTACTCTTGGAGCCCCATGCTGCTGCTCCTGCCTCTTCGCTGCTCAGCTTCCAGTTTGAAGAGTTGCAAGTGCTCAAGCTGCTTCCTGAGGTCCTCAATGAGCTGCGGCACAAGGGAAGAGGACAACTGAGGGCTGCAAGTCCGACAGCTGGCACTGGGCATGGCTGGGGTGGCTGGAGGGGGGGCCCCCCGCC